GGATATTATTGCTTATGTTGAAAAACCAACTGCCCTGTCATCGTTTAATTAAGTGTGGCAGCGTACAAAAAGATATTACTCGTGTAATGGCTTTTTGATCGGTGCGAAACAAAACAAAGATTTTTGTATTTTAATGAGTGGTAACGTATGTTAAATTTGAAGATACCGTCGCTGGTTGATTGCGTTCCGCAAGGTCCTTCCCAATATTAATAAAATAATTATTAAATTGTTATTTATTAATATTAAATATTGAAGATAGGATATTTTACTGAAAAAGACATAATTTTATTTTTAACACATGTATTTTATGATAACCGTGGAAAGAGTCAATCATTAGGATTATTTTTTCCTAAATAACAAAGCATTTAAAAATGAAAGAAAAATCATGAACTCTAACATTTTGTAAAATAATTTAACACAAACTACAATAAAAACGAAACGCTGCAAGTTTTTTTTTTTAATTTAATTTATCAAATATTCTAAATATGATCCATTTTTTGGTATTAAAATTCTCACTCGTGTCGATAAATTAACTACTCAAGAGGTCCTGGCTTCGTATCCCGTTGGGGAAAATGTTTATTTGATGAATACGAGCATTTTTACCTAAGTCACTGCTGATTAACTTATCTTTGTGAATGTTTGAAATAATCGTTCTAAGTAATTTTGTAACTCCAGCAAACTATCGTTGGTATAGGTTTTTGTAAACTAAAAAGCCATTCGCATTGTAATTCAGAGCTCACAAAGAAATGCATACAAGTAACTACTACAGTTGATTTTTTTTCACGCACTTATAATAAGGAAATCTAGTATTATGAAATGATAACTAGCAAACCAGTGAACCAAATGTTCACCAAAACCTGATTTAAAAAAAAAAGAAAAAAAAATGTATTTAATTAATTGAGAACTTCGGAGATTTTGTGTGGTTTCGTTTGAAATTCGTGATTTCTCGAAAACCGGAAGTGCTACGTTACTCAAATCCGGTTTGTAGTCTTATCAGACTATTCTTAACTTATAACTTAAAATATTCTCTTTATCTATCTCTTACGGTTTGGCCGATGAAACAGCACCACAGACGGACGGACGGACTTGTCTAATAGATAAGAGATTAGGATATTTGACAAGTTTTAGAAAATTACTAATTAACATTAGTCAATAACGTGAGATCATTTTCTAACCTTTCAACGGTTATCACAAAAAACGTATGCATATGTAAGTTTCTTTTTTACATCGCGAGTTTGATTCTCGGTTGTGGCATTCAATTTTATAAAATCCGTGAATGCAGTTCTGCTTATTATTAAAAATTAAATAATGTCTTCATTCAGTAAAATATCCTATCTTCAATATTTAATATATTTTCCCTGCATGTGGCATGGCCTGTATGATTGTTTTTTTATAGTTTCTGCTTTTTTGTTTTACTTGTCATTGACTCGCTTTGTAAATACGATTTTAAATATATTTGTGTATACCAACAATATGCGCGTAATTTTATCCAAATCTGTGCAGTACCCTTAGCATGAACCATTTTCGAATTCGTGTCGCCGCACACGGGCCACCGACCACAACCACAAAACGCCGCCACCGGTATATTTCTTGTAGTTCTCATACATTTTATATGGATTCACCACACACGGTACGCCGGTGGCCGCCACACGCTACAAATCATCGTTGCTCGCTTCTTGTGGCCCGCACGCGCCGATACAAAACGCCGCCACACGTCACTCGCGCGATTCCCCACCCCTCTCTCCCTTACCTTAGTCGGCCGCTGTCGCGCGCTTCAGCCACTTTAGCAGCCGCTTCTAGCTTCTCGTGGCGGGGCCTTTGTGGCTGTGGCATGTGGCCCGTGTGCGGTGACACTTATACGTCAAATGTGTACTGATTTTTAGTTCTCGTTACGTCCATTGTGGCGCTGCTGTTCAAATTTCCATACAAATTTTGACAATGACACATTAATACTCGCAAACTATTCGATAAATCGATGGCGCAGGTGGTTAGCACATTCGGTTGCGATCATTGAAGTTAAGCAACTTTCACAGTCGTCGATTATTGGATGGGTGACCAAAAATCTTCTATCTCGAGTTCCTCCGGGCTTCAGAAGGCACATTAAGCCGTTCGTCCCGGCTGCATCTGCAGTCGTTAGCACTCACCAATCTGCACTGGGCCCGCGTGGTGGGTCGTGGACCATCCTTATTTCATCCATAGGGAAGGCCTGTGCCCCAGCAGTGGGGACATTAATAGGCTGATGATGATGATGAAACTATTCGAAATCGATATTGGATCGTACTAAGGGTACAGTTCAAACTTACAAACGTTCAAATTTTTTATATATGAAGGATAGCCAAAGGGTTGGTTTTCGTAGCCAGACACAGAAATCGTTAAATCGTCAACATGGCGGCAAAGTACGTAAAATTTCAAATGTTGTGATTTATTAGGGAATTGCTGTTTTAATTAGTTCCCAGCGAAATGATGATTAAAACAGCGGAGGGAAAGACAGATAATATTGAAAGGAAGTTAATTAAAGGTCGCGTTACGTCGCAGTTTAGCAATTAATCATTTAAATGCCATTATGACACTTCGCAATGGAATTAACTTGAGACCTTACCTTCTGTTAAATTATTTTGGACCATGTTTTATATATATTTATATATCTTTAAGTCTAAAACTTTTTGAGAAAATGATAAAAACCACCTTCTTAAAAACAAAACTAACCTATACTAAAGTCTGTGCGGAAAGAGAATGGGCGTGGCGAAAAACGGAACTAACACTAAGATTTTTATATAGCAATTTAACCCAGCCATCTGTCAAACGTCAAAGTTTTGTATTGATACGGATTTGTTTGCTATTGTGATTTCTTGTGGTTGTTTGTATTTAATCATGTCTAAAAAGGGTAAATCCTTACAAATACGGTAGAAAAGCACTACAGCGCCCTCCAATCTAAATTTCATTCTCTTTCCGCACATACTCTATAATAAAAATCGAGAACTAATCTTGTCGTATTTTACATTTGTTACAAAACTTTTGATTATAAGACAGAACAACATCTATTAAGTATAATAGCTACCGGGCCTGCAGATTACATATATAAGCACAGTATAATTATACTGTTTGTAACTGAAGCGTTGTCGATCTCCAAAAGTACGTACAGGGACGCAAAAAAGTGTCCCGCGCAAAAGTTGTTCCTTATCACCATCACAACCCATTCCATTAAAAAAATAAAGGGTTCCCTTTAAAAAATTCTAGGTCTTTTTTTTATTTAGCCAGGTAGGCAAAGGACTCTACCCCACCTGATGTTGAGTGGTGATAAAGTCCAAACGCGAAGATAGCCGGTACAGCAGTTATAAACTGCTACACTAACCATCTTCACCTTGCCGGCCTGCAAAAATGCTTCTTCACGCCTCTCTTATAGGACACAAGTTTGTAGGAAGGAGGGAACACGTGCGTGGGCAACGAATTCCACTTACAAATAGTACGAGAAAGAAATGGGTCACCAAATTTCTTTGTTCGTGTAGGAATAGTGGCCACAGGAAGTCGGTGCCAACATAGGCCAGCGCGCGTGGTCCTCTGAAGAAAAGGTGACACAAGACTTAGAATTTATATAAATTATAACTGCAAGAATAAAAACTTTATCTACACATCAGAAATTTCACTCTTACACCATTTTTTTTCCAATTGATGTGGTATTTTGTCTGTTATTGTAGTATAACAGTTAACAAAACATATTATCTTTCTGAAAATGCTAAACTGTTTCAAACAAAACAAATACATACCTACTAGCTGACCCAGCGAACTTCGTACTGCCATAAAAAAAGGGTCAGGTGGTAGAAGAGTGAAAATATAGGGGTGTATGTATTTTAATACCACATAATAAAAATAAAATGTAAAAAAAAGTTTTTAGAGATGTGTAACGTAGTGTTCCATCAATTTCCTGGGATAACATTCCTCCTAACCCATATGAGAACACTACGTTACAATACCCAATAGTATTAATTTTTGCGCGAAGGCGCATTGTAGGTTTCAGAACACTACGTTACAGGTGGACAACCCTTATCACTTAAGGATATGAAAAATAGATATTAGCTGATTCCCAGACCTATGGAATATGCATGTAAAATTTCATAAAAATCGGTCAAGCCGTTTCGGAGGAGTATGGTAACTAACATTGTGACACGAGAATTTTATATATAAGATAACCTAATTATTAAACAGTCAATTGACTGCTTGCGGCATAAATATCAGATAATATATGCACGCACTCACTCACAACAAATGATCAAATGATCGTAAATATTTGCTACAGATTATGCGGCAGAGGTGAAGTTATTAGTGTTATGGCGGAGACCCGGCGGCGGTCTGCAGTAAGTAATTAAGCTGTATGATTTATTAGTCAATTAGAATGTTTAATGTATAGGGTTTGAAGTGTAGTACCGGTTCTGTGAGACTGAATTATACTTAAACTGTATGTGTACCAAATTTCATCCAGATCCGTTTAGTTGTTTTTGCGTGATTGAATAAGAAACATACAAATACACAAACATAGAAACTAACAAACTTTTTCATTTATAATATTAAGGACTATTGTCCCGCCCTTACTTCGCTTTGGTTTAGAGCTGTAGTGTAGACTATAGTATTTGTTCTCAGGATTGTATTATAATACTACAATTTATTGTGTATACACAATGAATTTCTATATAAAATTTACCTTCCATGAAAATTTATTGAACTGATATTGAAAATTTTGTTGCGTAGTTTAGGACCCGTTGTATCGAATGCACAATTTCTTTGGTTGAACGCGCAAATCTAATGTACTAATGGTCCGATTTGAAAAAATCTTTTTGTGTTAGAAAGTGCATTTATTGAGGAATGCTTAAGGCTATATATCGCACCTTTATTCCAATACTGTCATTATCATAAAATAAAATTAAAATACAGGATTTGAAGTAATGTGTAGATTCATAACGTAGCAAATAGATTTCGTTGTAAACTATTTTTTGAAGAATTTTGTTTAATGACAGTATTGGAATAAAGGTGCGATATTATTCCACTGCAACCAGTAGGAGCGGAGTATCGATGTAAATTGTTGCAAAAACGGGTAAAAATATTCCATTTGGGAGATTCTGTTGCGTGCGCTGCGTAAATGATTAATGTTACAGAAAAATCATATAATAATATGACAGAATTGTTCCCCTTTAAAGTTCTTAAAAATAAATCCGCAAAAGCATATGCCCATCTTTTAGTTTGACTCACTATAACATATTTCCTCAAATTAACGCGGGCGAAACTGCAGGGGGAGTTAGAGAGTAGTTAGTTAGTTTAGTTAGTTTTGAGTTTTGTCACAACCTTTAGTTGTGACATAACAGCAATAGTTAGACATATGATATTGCGGAAGTTTTTGTAGATATGTACGCCCTCTATAAAACTTTTGTACATCACTTTGCTCTATTGTCAATGACCTTCGCAGCGTAAGCGATATAAGTTTATTTTTTTCACACCCTGGGTTACATTATCGCATTTTTCATACGGAACCCTAACTTTTTTGATAATACAACTATAGCCTATGTTCATCAGGGATAATGCAGGATTCTAAATGTGTAAGAAATTTTCAAATCGGTCCAGTGGTTTCGGAACCTATTCAATACAAACAAACAAACAATCAAATCTTTCCTCTTCATAATATTAGTATAGATTGGTGTGCGTGAAAAGAAAGTAGTAAATATGCGCTGAAATGTATATGTACATGTATTTAATTTCAACGAGATTTTTACAAATATTAGACAATATTGTAATAAATCATGAGAGATTTTTTGTTTCTTCACACTAAGCATTGAAAACTGAACTAGTGCAGTAATTTCTACAAGAAAGAGCGGTTTATATTATTTTTACAAAACTTGTTGACGACCTCCGTGGTTTGTACGCCGGGTTTCATGGCTGTCGCCGACTCGAGAGGTCCCGGGTTCGAATCCCGGTGGGGGCAGATGTTTGTGTGATGAATACGAGCATTTGTACTCCAGTCATGGATGTTTAATATGTATTTATACAAATATACTTATATATGTACAGTATATGTATTCTATCCGTTACCCTAGCATCCCATAACACAAGCCTTATAATGCTTACTTTGGGGCTAGGCTAATTGGTGTGTGTCGGAAATATTTATTTATTATATTTATTATTATTTATGTTTGTAACAGTATTTTCCTGGTAGCGATTGCTACCTTAGCAATAAGGCTGCCTTTTGTGTTTGCGTTCCTGTATTTTATTTGTTTTGTGTAATAGTGCAATACGAAATATACAAAATGTAGGGTGCTTATTTTGACCATTTTGTGGGGCTAGGCTGAGTGGGAGTGTAATATTTCTTTATTACTAAGGCACTTTACTAGAAGATAGGTATCAGTCATTCGAAAAAAGAAAACGAAATGTATTTTATTTATTTTTATTGTTTTTTATCCAAAGAGTTTTTATTGAATTTGCCTTTTTATTTTTGACGTGAAACATCTATAGGCGCATGTAAAAAAGATTACTGACGTGGCGACGCGACGCAACGCTTTAAGATGGTATATATATACAGTCTATATGCAGTAGTGTGCACGGTGTGGCGAATTGAATCTCGATCATCTTGAAATTGAATCGAATTCGATTTTTGTATTTAAAGAAAACAAAAGTTCATTTTGTGGAAAAAAATCGTAATATTTTATTTTATCATTATGCCATATTTAGTTCCCATCGCAATCTGTTCTTTCCTGCATATTTCTTTTACAAAATAATGTCAATGTTTCACATTTGATAGGCGTCCCGTGACGGCTCACATTTTTGTTTATAAGTTCGCATTTATCCAGCTGAGGAATGACGTCACTCTGGTGAACACAGATGGTATTCCACTCTGGCAGCCATCAGCGAGACCGAAGGACACAACACCCACCTAGAAACATACATAAATAAATTAATATTGACCACAGTCACGCATGACCCCAAACTATGAGCCAAACTCGCAAAAAGTACCCAAATAATTCGCAGAAATAACGAAACTAAGAAAGAAAGGTACAAAAGTTAGTTTTCCTATTGTAGGTGACTGACCGACCTCTTTCGTATAGTCTGTTTATATTTTTAACCGACTTCAGAAAAGGAGGAGGTTCTATATTCGACTTTTTTTTTGAGTGTGTATGCTGTTGGTCGCAGATGACCTTTACAGCGTCACCGGGTTTGGGGAAGGCGAGATCCTAAGGGAGGTCCCCTTAGGATCTCGCCTTCCCCAAGCCGAGAATAGGGGTGATGACGGGGTACAGTAAACGAAATTCTATTAAGTCCGGCAGTTAGATGATCAAAAAATAATGGACACGTATTTTTTCTTTGGGCAATCAACCAAAAAATGACAAAGTTATAGCGCGTCAAAGTTTGGGAGTAGGGGCTCGTGACGTCACTTTTGAGTGAATTTTCCCTTATAAGTGTACTCAAACGTGACGTCATGCGACTTTTCAAATCAATATATCTCTGCAATGTTTATATTATGTGAAAAAAGAAAAAATACGTGTCCAACACTTTTTGATAATCTACCTGATAAACGAAGAAAAAAAAATTAGTCATCATCCCTATTGGTGAGTGCCTCTGGAGGTATTCCAGCCGGATGGCGTCTCCCCACGGGGGGAATCTCCTCTCCGTCTGGAGCCTCCAGACCACTCGAACCTGAGGGGGTCGGCTCAACTAGAGGGCGTCTCTGAGACTCGGACCTCGGCTCTAGTTAGCCGATGTCGAGGGGGGCTATGTTCGACTGTATATTTTTAATAATGTTTTCTTTTCCGTGCGTTCGAATATCGAAAGCCGACGCGACTCCGATTTCCGATTCCCGCCGCTGCGAGTGTTTTATTGAATTTTTGTTTGAATATTTTTTAATTAATTAGCAGCCGTAATATAGTTTTTCCTTAGCATTTAATATGAAACAGTGTCACTGCATCAGTGACATTATTTCACCGGGTACACCGTGCTGTAACTAACTGAAACTGATTTGACAATTAATTTATCGCGGTAAACCAGGATGTGAGGCGAACATGACGCTGTTTGTAAGTATTTTAATCGTAGAAGCAGCGCTGTGATACTAATCATCATCATCATCATCAGCCTATTAATGTTCCCACTGCTGGGGCACAGGCCTTCCCTATGGGTGGAATAGGGAGATTGGGCCATAACCCACCACGCGGGCCCAGTGCTGATTGGTGGGTGCTAACGACTGCAGATGCAGCCGGGACCAACGGCTTAACGTGCCTTCCGAAGCACGGAGGAACTCGATATAGTAAATTTTTGGTCACCCATCCAATGACCGACCACTGCGAAAGTTGCTTAAGTTCAACGATCGCAGCCGAACGCGCTAACCACTTGCGCCATCGAGCTCCTCGATAGCTCGTGATACTAATTCACTGTGGAATCTTATCTTATATGATGAAGTATTATCATCGCTGTTGCAACGCTGTGGTATTCATCTATAATATTTTGTAAGTAAATACTAAAATCCTAATTCAAATGTTTATATTTTGACTCCATCTTAAATCTATATTTTAGCTTCAATCAAAGTCGTTCTAGTATTGCATGTGGTTGTTAAACAAATGGCGCTGCAACAGCGGCGTTAATATTTCATCATATAAGATAAGTTTTCACAGTGAATTAGTATTAGTATATTAGCGCTGCTGCTACAGCAGCGCCACAGTGATGTAGGAGCAAATACTTATAAGTTGACCAAAGCTTTGTTCTGATTGTACTGTTGCTCTCGGGTGTGAGCAGTGATTGGTTCGATTGTTTGATGTCGCGTCATTTGATTGGCTATTATCTATTAAGTGGAAGTGTAGTGGAAGCGCGCCGGCGCGGCGACAACCGTTCCTATACAAACGGTTTATGATCCTTCTAACCTCTTTCTGTGTTCTGTGGATGAGATAGTGGTAGGGCTTTGATATTTATCTTACCTGCATCCTAATATTATTGCGGAGTACAGTTATAGGTCCGCCTGAGTCCCCGTCACAGGTGCCTACTTTGCCGTGCCCGCTAGTACACATGTGAGTACTCTGTATGGTGATATCGAAGCTCTGCTGGCACACCCGGTTTGTCAGGATTGTGACCGTGTTGTGATGAAGTGACGTGCTCGGAGGGAAACTGGTTTGTGCTAAAACCACAAACATTAAGCTATATAATTAACAGTTTCTTATAGAACTCACATTTATAAGTCCCATTTTTGTTTAAAAATAAATATGGTTAAGCAAACTGTAATTTTAGGTATGGAAGAAAGAAATTTCAGTCACCTATCACAGGCATTATTGGCTTACAAGGTGGCTTCAATCGATAGTACAAAATGTAACCAAACCAATGTTACAAAAATAAAGCAATTAATACATTAAGCAATCACTCAAATGCGTAGTTAATATCAATCCTACTTCCTATTATATTATAAATGTGAAAGTTTTTATGTTTGTTTGTTACTTAATCACGCAAAAACTACTGAACGGATTTGGATGAAATTTGGTACGCATATAGTTTATGACCTGGATTTAGACATAGGAAACTTTTAATCCCGGGAAAGTGCAAGGAAAACTAAAGTTAACGCAGACAAAGTCGTTGGGACACTGAAAAAAAAAATTTACAAAACTAGTTGAGTTAACCGATGAATAGCCAAACTTTGTTTACTAATAAATACATTTCAGTCAATCATAAACCAACTGTTCTATTGCATTTTTCATTAGCATTTCAGCTAATCCGGTTTAGTTAAAAACTGGCAAATTCAATTTCGGTAATCGGTAACATGACACAATATAATAATAACATTTGTTATAATCAAACACACTTGAGGTGATTATTTCCATAAAGTTGGCCTTACTACAACTATTTAGTGATATTTATTAGCGAGCATAGAAACTTCTATGAATAGTTAAGAGTGATGTAACTGTAAGCCAAAAAGTTTGGTTACAGATTGCAAGTACGTGTTTTGTTAAATGTTCGGCACATCCACCGAATCGTGCCATAGAAATTGTTTTGTAGATTTATACAATTTTGATTTGAAAATAAATTGTGAACCAGGGTATTTTCATCATATTGATTTCCTGTCGACCCCCAATACTTACTTATTAGTAAGTATTACAGGATTTTACATCAGAAAAGTCCTTTTGCAAGTAAGATAATAATACAACTATAATTTATCAGAAAATTATGTTGCAGATAACACAACAGTTCGGTTACAAATAACAGTATAGTGGTGCTATACTGAAGCAATCAATCTGTAACAAATTACTGAACAAGTGTAAGAATTATCAAAATCATATTTATTTATAACAAAAAAGTTTTGTAATTTAACATAAATATTTTGTTAAAACAACAAAACTATTTTAATAAAAACGAGTTGATCTACTAGTAACTCTAGTTATGTAGTCACTATTTTTAAGTAATAGGTAACACACATTTTTGTTATATATTACTCAAAACATTTTTCAGTGAGGCCACTCGGGCAAGGCAGTGAGGTCAATCCTTCTGATTTTAGAAAAAATGATATTCATCATCATCAGCCTAGTAATGTCGTCACTGCTGGGACACGGGCCTTCCCTATGGATGGAATAGGGCCCAGAGCGGATTGGTCGGTACTAACGACTTTATATGCTGTCCGTAGCACGGAGGAACTCGAGATAATAATTTTTGGTCACCCATCCAATAACTCACCATTGCGAAAGTTGCTTAACTTTCACGATCACAGGCCGAACCCGCGAATCACCTGAACCATCAAGCTCTTCTAATAAAGTAATGCTAATCTCTGATTTATTAACATTAAGTTTTCCCTTTGGCAATTACAATTAAACAATGTTAGGTATAATTAATCTCTCTCCTGTGTTCGTATTTACCAAACTATTAAATGATTTGATAGCATTGAACTGATCGGCTGTTTGATTTAAATACCGCACTCGCTTAGTTATGCTCAATCACTGAATTTCAGTTCAGCACGTTAATTAATGATTGCCTCAACAATGGGTCTATTTTTAACATTAATTCATCGAAGCGTTGTAATTTAGTGATTTCATAAATTTAAAGCATAGGTAAGTAAATATTAACTACTGTTATATATGTGACTGAATAAAAAAAAATGAACTTTAAAGGTGACGAAAATTCATAAACTTATAAAATGGATAAAAAAAATCCAGAAACATTATTGAAAAGTGATTGCGAATTATTCATTCCACGTAATCAACATCAGTAATTAGGTTACATTTTTAGAAAATCCTTTTACCTATTTCTAATATAAATAATATTTTATAATACAACCATCTAAAACATAAAAAGTAGCCCATTTCCTCCATATAGAGATTTCATATTAAATTCGCCTCCTCATAAACTTAAATATTTGTGCTAACAGTAAATAGCAAAACGCAAAGACGTTAAATGTTTTTCTTTGAACTTAAAAAAAGCGCATAGACTTTTAAAGAAAAAACCGTTTTATTTGAATGTTTCAAGGGAAAATATATATTATTATTTTTTTATTTGGCTCACAAAACTGCTTACAAAAAATATCCATGTAAATATATGCACACAAAAAAAATATCAACTACTTTGCAACCTACTAGATGCAAGCACAACATGCATTTCTAAAACTACCCAACTACTAAGGATATATACTAAACGATAAATATAGCACATATAGGTTAAACTCTATAACTAAAAAATTAAAGTGAAAGTTAAAACTAAAAACTAATAAAACCTAATCAGAGAATATTGAATTTAAACATTTTCTGGTTGAGGTTTTAGAACCTTTAAATATGTCGAAATCATTTCGAATAGCATTATAGGTTGACAACATTCTATAAAGAGGAGAGTGATTCCCGAGTCTTGTCTTACAGGGGGGCAGTATAAAAGTCTTTCGATTATTTAACCGAAACCAGTTTATTATGTTAATATTGAAAAAAATATTGATTCTAAGATTCCTAAATCAACGCTGTAATTTAGAGATCATGGATCAAATCAAAAATTATAATCAGCTTAAACCTTTTCAAATCGAACTAATAATCTGTGTTAAAGGGTACATGTATAAATATAATAATTATTTAGTATCATAATATTGTTAAAATATATTATTTCTTTTCGAGGTAACACAATAAGCTAAACTTGGGTATTCTTCAACCAAATTCGACTTAATAGCTATTCTTACAGATTTTTGGAAGGTGAATGCTCTTGGTCTCAGATGACCTTTGCTGCATCACCAGGCTTGGGGCGTTTTTACCTTCATACTCGTAAAAGATTACAACGTACCCTAACATTTTGTTTGAAAATAAATTTTAGTAGACAAAAGTCCACGAAGACCAGGCAGCAGACAGGCCTCGAGCCCGCATCCTCCGCTATCCGGGCGGATGCACTGACCATTATGCCGGCCCTGATTGTCCGCGTCGAATTTCAGCTAGCATTTCTTAGGCTACAAGGCAGTTAAATGCTTGAAAAATAAAAATATAACAGATATTGTTTGCAAATTGTGGGATATGAAACCAAGTTAACGATGGCATCAATTACGTACGTGCTTAACGTATTGACACCTAGACACTTTTGATGTCTGTCTCAGTATTATATTAAAAATCTTCAATAATATTAATTCTTTCAATTTAGAAAATTAGGTCAAGCTACTCGAAGGCATTGTTCTAACAGCGAAAGGATTGTTTGTTCCGATTCGGATGACATAAGCACTCGGAATACATTATTTCACGCAGTTATATAATTCTGGGAATTCTAAAGCGTTTTCTTTTGTTCTCTATAGACAGGCATCCGCCTATACAAATCTGGGAGGGCTAAGGGTCCATATTGTTTGCCTTTATTTGGGATCTGATTCAAGTCAAACCAGAGTTGGAATTAGGGAAGCAGTCGCACTGGACTTGAGTGAAGCTTCTGAAGTAGTGAAATTAACTAGGAATCGATGTCATTGTTTATTATTATTAAATATGTATGATAATAGGGCTACAATGAAGTGAGAATGAAAACAAAATATTTTTATGTGATTTAAATATAAGAACTATTTTAGTTGATAAAACTTATTTAAAAAGTAAATGTGTACAAATAACGTGGAATGATACTAATATCGAGGATTTATCATTATCACGCGAAAATAACTTTGGATTGGAACATATTTTACCATAAGATAAAAAGGCACACTTTTAAAGTTTAATTTCTTCTGAGTCATTTTTACACGAATTGTATATGCTCATACTTTTAAAAATGGAAAAGATATTTTTTTGTTTTTCTTTACTGAATACTTCCCTGCATAAACAAGTGCTCTCCATTTAATATTACCCAAGTTGTTAAGTCAGAGGGTGTCCCTAAGCCGGCCACCGCCTGCCGACATAATAATTAGACTCGATGTATGGAGCTCTTGTGCAAACAAAATATATTCAAGCATATCAAATATTTCCTTAAAAAAAGATTCAATAAGCTGGAGTCACAGGGCGTATTTTTTAATGGTTAGGACGCTTTACCCGGTTTAAAGTTTCAGTAAGGGTTTGTATAATCAAGAACATAACAAATGATACAATTTCACCGCGAACATTGCTTGTAGTGCTTCGCAATAAAACGGATCTTAATGTCAAATTATTTCTAACATATCATTGTATTTATTTTGTAAAGCTAAGAATTTAAAGTGATATCCTAAATATCAAGTTCTTGTCCCTAAAAGAGAATGGACTAGCATTTAACTAGAGAACTGGGTAATTAACATGTTGTCTATATTCAAGTACCTAACTATAATGCAAATACCCAATAATTCAGGATCCCTTCAGTTCACCTACTTATTTAAAATCCTGAATTATATTATGTATGACAGCCATTATCATAATAGTTATATAACAACATTGTCATAAATGTAATATTTATGATATTTTTACTTCTCATATACGTCACAATTTCATTAAGACTAGGTATATTAGGATCAGATGACCATGACGAGTATGACCCTGAAATGCGGTGTCAGAATGATCAGGGATAGTGAGACCAATTCCAACTTACCATCACTCGTCTTTCCGTATCCTGTAATTGTCCCTATCATTCCCGAGAAATCTTGATTTGCATCTGCAGCCGTCGGAAGCGCTACAGCACGAATATTATCTGTAAACAATTATAACATTTTAATGTTAACTTCCAATTAAATATTGTTATATTAATTGTCCCATTCGGTGTCGAGACCTTTGGTCCGTGGGGTCCTAGCGCTATGAGGTTTTTTAAGGAAATATCAAAAAGGTTAGTCGACATCACTGGAGACCGAAGAGCTGGCAGCTACCTCGGACAAAGAATTAGTCTAGCTATTCAAAGGGGGAACGCTGCCAGTATCTTTGGAACCTTGCCTAAAGGGACTCCTTTTAGTAATATATTTTAGTTATTATAATATATTTTTTAAGGTTTTTAGTTTAAGGTTCGTTGTTCCTGTATATATTTAATTATATTTAAGATTAAAAATTGTGACCAATTCACATTCTTCTAATTTATATAAGTATCAGTATAAGTTAGGTAGGTAAATAAAAATTGTAGACCTAACACAACACGTTCATCGTGCGACACCAAATTCAGTATCTTTGGCAGGGTATAAACCCTATCGCTTAATGATGGACTGGTAACCAGTACTAGTAGTAGTGGTACTTATCGGAAATCATTATAATGAATTATATATAGCCAAAGGTCATTGAATCTGAAGTAATTGAAGTAGTAATAAGCCTAGGTTCATTACTTCATTGCGTTTTAATGTGGACACCATTTCTGTGCATCAGAACAATAAACAAAAAAGTAAACAAATTCGTATTTGAATAATTTCCCTAGAGAAAACGGGGCCTATCAAACATGTTTATGCTAACTGTTTGATGTTTACAGGGGACAGCGGAGGGACCTTAACTAAGCAACGGAGATAAATCCCTAATCCGAGACATTTGTTAGCCCTGAGTGGGTTGCGGACCGAGAATCTCTTATTAATGTTAATGTTTAACAGACCTCAATCAACGACGAATGAGATCACACGCTTTAAAAACACTTATTCGTCATTTATTTCGAAACTGACTCACAAATTACAACATGTTTTGAACCTGTATTCATTAATCCTTTATTGGTATGGATTAATCTGATAATTCTTGTTCCGCTTTAAAGAGGGGTAAGGATGCGTATGTTCTGCGCTATAAATAGTTATGCCTAGAATCTTGGCCACAAATACTAATATCCACTTTTTTATGTTTGATTCCTGGAGCTAGGCCAAGAAAGCTTCGCTGGATCCATATACTATGGTGACCGCTTCATCATCATTCAGTCATGTAACGCCCGTTGCTGAACATGAAACTCCCTCCAAGATCTCCACTCTGTTCAGGTCTAAGTCGTCAGCATTAAGTGGCTTTGCGACCTTTAATAGATCTTCGGTCCGCCTGGTGGAGAGCCTGCCCACTGGGCATCGTCTTGTGTGTGGTCAACTAGCCATGAATAAACTATTTTTATACGAATTGCAACAAATTACCCTAATGTTGAGTGTAGGTGGAGTTCAGTGGCGAAGATAGATGATGCGACACAAGGTGTGCTGCTCCAGCCAGTGTTTTCTCATAAATAACATATTCTTCCAATGACCAATACTATTCCTACTAAAATAGAAAGAACTTATTGTACCAGCTTTAAAGGCATGGATAAGCAACCAATGAAGTCCAGTTAATAATTTTCTAATCAAAATAAAACTTACTATTAAATTGGACCGCAGAAATCTTCACGATGGCAATGTCGTTGGTGACGGTGTTAGTGTTCCAGTTGGGGTGAACGATGACGTCAGAGCTGACGACCCTGGTGCCCCCACTGAAGATGGTAAGTGAGCCAAGGACGACAGTGAACTGCTTGGCCTGGCTGTAGCCGTCCCACCAGCAATGGGCGGCTGTAAGAATCCTTGTGTTGGAAATTATCGAACCACCGCATATGGAAGTCTGCCCTGTGGTGAGCAGAGTTACTAGGCCTGCCTGAAAGTAATCATGAAAACTCAGTTACGATGAGTCTTTGAGGTGTATAAGGATGAACCTACTATAATTATTTCATCATCAGTCTAATAATATCCCCAATACTTTGGCACAGATCTTCCTTAAGGATTGTATAGTGGAATTTGACCATAAACCACCACGCAGCCCCAGTACAGATGCAGCCTTGCACAGTGATTACAGATACAGCCTTCACCAGATGCTGAATAAATAAAATAGAAACTTTAAGTGCTTTCCGAAGCACAGAAGTGAAATAAAATGTAACAAACGAGCGAAACAACGAGCGTGGCTAGGCCATATTCGCAGTCGCAGATCTAGTGCGTGAGCGCTTGTGCAAACTATACATAAGTTGGTCGCATCGACCAGTGGTGCCGGCCCGGTGTGCGATCAGCCATTTTTCTGGTCGTAGCCGTTTAGTGCGCGAGGTGCCTAACACTAAGGGATGTGGATTGAAGTAAATAATATGATGACATAAATAATTTTAATGGGCCAAAACCTTACAAAGTGATTGTGCAAATAGAACACGCACACAGTATTATCAGCAATTCAAATTACCACGAAGTACCAAAGTTTGTCAATTCATTGTGAGTTGGGACTCTCAAGTAAGATAAAACTCAAAATCCATCAATGAAATTAGTCAGTTAAAAATTACTTGACCTATAGCTGTCGGAACTCATTTTGGCAGGTCGCTTGAATAAAACACAAACACGGAAGCTTTTACCCCTTTCGAGGATCCATTGTCAAGAAGACTAAGAAAAGGGCTGTCATTATATTAATTAATGAAAATCCTCCGTCAACTACGCTTGGAGTTCCTATTCATGAAATACGAATCGTGTTGAATAGGAGAGCACATTCAATTAAGGATGTTGACAGTGGTTTTCTAGTATAATTGAAGTGTACTCAAAGATTTAATAACAGTTGTAGGTTGTAGCTGAATAAGTAAATTTCAGTTAAATTAGACTTAGCACCGAATATATTGGGAGTAAGCAAGAAGTAAGTTTGATTTATGTTTGAAGACCAGATTCTGCACATAATGCTCGTTAGGCGCGGCACTTATGATCCCGTTTTACCGAATGACCGTTTTGACACATTACAAAAGTGAAGTGAAAATTAAATTTTTACAGTCTCATTTAGGTATTACATTTTTGGAATTTTGTCCACTTTTAGAATTAGTAGCTGATTAGAAGGACTTAGTAAAACAAAAATAAATACATATTCTTACACTAAGCGAATGCAGCGATTCATTGATTTCATTTTTGTACATTCAATAAAATACAAATTTCTTGAAGCATAATAATATAACCTGATCATAATCTGATTATGGTGGTGAATAAGTGCAGTGTAATTATAATATTATTTCTGGGAACAGTATTTAATGATAAGAATAATATAACATTTTATTAATTTAATCATTTAAAGATTAGCAATGGGTGGCCCTTTCTTTTGACTTCATCCATAAAGAAAGACTGCTTCGAAGCAGTGGGGACATTAATAGACTAAATAATGATGTTGATTAAGGAAATTGAAGGTTACAAAAATGTATTACCTTTAATTTACTCACAATCAAGAATATTATTTACATCAATGTAATGAAGAAATTTGGCCACTTACTTGATACGGATAAGCCGTTACACTTGGTACAGGACCACCACCCACTATCCTTAATCGTTCTGATCTCAATAAAGACTTGGCTTTGGGAATCCCCACGGTTTCATGATATCCAAGCGATTTAAACTCAATATTTCTGCCGTTGGCATCGAAAAATATGCAACAAAGGATCACAAAGATACCCACACGCATCGTAAACTCGAACGTATCAAACGATTAATGTGTTTAGGCATCGGAATTACTAATATATCAACCAATTTGCCAGATAAGCCGCTGATAAGCCATCCAGTGGTAAATCAAATAGGTAATTTAATCAACATCTGTTTGATTGATACTAATGACGTTTAAGATTTCTACAATATTAGCAATACTGCTTGCATAATGATAGCAATGATTAAGAAATACATGTGTTTTTTTATGTTTAAAAAGTGGCAAACAAGATTATGGCCCGTTTGATGGTAAGCGGCCACCGTAGTCAATAGACGCTTCCATCACCATCCACTGCTGGGGAACGGGCCTTCCCTACGGATGGAATAGGGAGTTTGGGCCGTGACCGCGGGCCCAGTGCGGATTGGTGGGTGCTAACGACTGCAGATGCAGCCGGGACCAACGGCATAATGTGCCTTCCGAAGCACGGAGGAGCTCGAGATAGTAAATTTTTGGTCACCCATCCAATGACCGACCATTGCGAAAGTTGCTTAACTTCAACGATCGCAGCTGAACGCGCTAACAACTTGCGCCATACCAGGGCTTGTTTACTGGTTAATTTTCAAACCTAAATCAGTATCAAGTACATTAGCAGCAAACGTGTCTATATATAAATGCACCAATCTTTCTGCATTAACAAGATGTGACTTGATTAGTTCAAACAAAATAAAACTTCAAGCGATGCCGACACGTGCACATGTCGCTCTGGATTAAACCGGTTTATTAAGGTTTTAGGTACCGCTTTCATTTAGGACGCGCTCCGAACGATACCTTTACTAAAAACCGGTATTAACCTTTATTTAGCGGTATTTTCGAAACCGGTTTCAAGCCCTGCGCCATACCATAAATATCACTCCCCCCGTTGCCTACCTTACTGACCTAATGTCCTACCCCGTGGGGCCCTGGAGCCTTACTCAACGACAGGAACACAACACCAAACTGTAGAGTTAATTTATAATCTAAATCTTCGGTAAGGTAGAGGTTTCCCCAGGGTGGATGCTCGAATCCGAGCGGAAAGTCCGCTATGCCCTACCTCTCTAAATGTGAATGAATAAACATTAACAAAACATTTGACTTGAATTGTCTTGGCAAACATGATTTCACTTGGCAAAGCTTTCAGTTTGAATTCAGTCGGATCAATATTCGAACGCCGGTGTAGAATCTGTTACCTTTTTAAATAGATGTACCTCCCGCTTCAAATATGTGACAATCGAATATCCAGGTCCCTTTTGTGAACTCATATACTTAAGATCTAAAGCTATTTTTTGAATAGAAAAAAATCCAAGCGGAATCCTCGAATAAATATACATATAACTATAATTGCTATTTCTTCTTTAAAATGTTTACTGCTTGTAAAGGTATTCATTTGGCATCGTGCGTTACCTATAATGCGAAGATATGGAGCTGCTTTGCAGCTTAAAAAGCACTATAGATAAATTCAACCCTATGAAAGGACGACCTATCGAGGACGCTATGGCTACTCCTTGCAGTTTTGTTTTATGGTAAGAATATAAGGTTGAGGCTGGCCAGATGAGGAATTATAGAAAATTTAACTATCTTCGCAAAATTTTGTGAAAAGTCGTAATTCTTTATACAAAAAAAAATAACAAGTATATCGTAATTTACTTAAGTTATCTGTGTTATTGGACCAACAGATTAGTTTGATTTGGGTTTTTTATTATTTAGCTACTTATAGATGTGTAGCACACAGAACAGTTTATCTGATATTTCCGAAAAAAATATGTGATTTCGATCTAATCAGTCTGTTTCCTAGCAGTGATTTCATGTTAATACCCGGATTCTCGTATTATTTCATTGTAGCACTTATACATAATTAAACATAATTAATTGCAGCTACTCCTCACCCATCCCTCAATGTCTTAAGTCGAAAGTCTTTGACCAGTGCGTCCTCCCAGTTATGACATACGGCGCCTAGACGTGGACACTCACGGCTGGACTGGTCCATCAGTTTAAAGTCGCTCAGAGAGCTATGGAAAGGGCTATGCTCGGAGTATCCCTGAAGGACCGCATCAGAAATGATGTAATCCGACAGAGAACCAGAGTCACCGACATAGCCCACCGAATTAGCAAACTGAAGTGGCAGTGGGCTGGTCACATTAGCCGCAGAACTGACGGCCGATGGAGCCGTAAAGTTCTTGAGTGGAGACCGCGACTCGGTAAACGTAGTGTGGGACGCCCTGAGACAAGATGGGATGATGACATTCGTAGGCTAGCTGGAGTGGGCTGGATGAGAGTGGCAGAAAATCGGGAGCAGTGGCGTGGATTAGGAGAGACCTATGTCCAGCAGTGGACGAGCATGGGTCGATGATGATGATGATGATGAATTGCAGCTACATGGACACACACACACACACACACACACACACATGCATACATGCACACATATGTATACATGCACCCACACTTCATAAAGTTATCATTTGACAAATTCCTAAAAACCCCTTTTATATGTTTGTTTTTATTTTTATTTTTCATTTGTTATATCTTATCCAATCTTAATTTAATTTTATGTTAGAAAGTTATATGAATTTTATACTATTTTTAAAATTAAATGTGCAATTGATATATAGTAATGCCGATAGTATCTTATGTGTACATTATAAGTTTCTGTAATTGGCCTTAAGATTGTATTATATCCATAAAAAAATCCTGGTGAAACTTTGTTAAAGATAAATAAATAAATAAACAACACGTGAAAAACTTAAGTATGTCCGCCTGGACTTTATAATTTACAAACACCCCAGAGAACCTGTAATAAGATAATATTATCAACAAAAAATTATTTGTGAACGAAGAGCACTTTATGACATACATAATTAAGTCCTGTACCTAATTCGGTTTTATGGGAATCCCGCAGGTATACTTAATTTGAGCGGCAAGACCATCGTAAATCTAAATCCAAGCAATAAAATATTAGTAGGTCAATTTCATCAAAAATCGTTTGTACATCTTTGTCTGAATCAGTTATAGACTTTTCACTTTCACTTTTATAACAGTAAATGTCATCAACTCGGGGAGGGATCGTCACCGTACCAACTTAATTGAATTAGTAACCTTAATTGAATTCGAATAGTTTGCAAGTGCGAAAAGGTCGTTGTCAAATTTTATATGGAAACTTGAACAGCAGCGCCGCAACGGACGTAACGAGAACTAAAAATCAGTATACATTTGACTATGATATTTCGCACTTACAAACTATTCGAATTCGATATTGGTTCGTGAAAAGGGTACAATATTCTTTGTATTTAACTCCCTACTGCAACGCACTCTAATCGGAATCTAAGCGTAAGCGTGTCACGAAGCGAGGCGATTACGTGACGATTTGCATATATCTGGTACGACCATTAGTAGGATATCGCTAATAATAATAAAATAACTTTATTTCTCACCACAAATGACATCAAGCAATCAATCCCACAAGTATATCTTGCTTGATACTTTGGATACTGTACAGCGCCTACAACACCTCGAGCCTTTTCAATTATGCCGTGACGTGGCGTCACTACAAGTAAGCGAGTTCAATCGACTGTACCACGGCAAGTGTTAAGGCTCTTATTCCACCTTCCCCTTTCCTTCAGATGACCACGCGCGCTGGCCTACGTTGTCACCGTCTAACTGTGGCCACAATTTCAACGTGTACAAAGAATATATCGTTTTAAACTTTCATGGTCACTAACATTATAGTAATTGTTCATGCCAACCTTAGGCATTCATAGTTTATAGATTTAACTTTTCATTTCTACCCACGTTTTGGTTTATAAGAGTTACCGCTCAATATATCTCTGCATTCTACAGTCTACGAATTGACGGCGACTCAACCAGATGCGCACTCGCTAATCTTGGTTTTCCCGCTTTCTGGAACTTTCTATATTCGAAAGACTGCTATTCTTAGGGTTTATACTCTTTATGAACCTACCGCTCGTGCTGTGAACATAGTGCTGTGTTTTTTAGTGCTTAACACATACACTGTTGTGAAGTAAACGCTTAATTATCCTCTGTCTTGGCTGATGTTAGCCGAGGCTGGTCCTTCATTATCTTGCTAAATCGTCGTGGGCTGTTGAGGCTGAGGAAGAAGTCTGCAGTGACATTACCCGGGTAGTGCCGGGTCAGTGCGGTTGCTGAAGGTGAGTTGCTGTTTTACTTTCGTGGTAGTAGTGTGCAGCGATTTCCGTAGGATATTCATCTCCTCTTCACCAGATAAGTAAACTTATACTACCTATGGTGATACCCAAATTAGTGCTGGGTAGAATCTACGAACCTTATTGCTAGGTTTAGCGACCACAGTAATATAAGTTATTTACGGGATTGTTAACTAAAACTCGCTAAAAACAAGGTACAGGGTAACAATCCCGTAAATAACTTACTTACTATAGCGTACTATAGAAATTTGGTGACTCAATTCTGTGTCGCACTATCCGTAAATGGAATGCTCTGCCCGCTCTCGTGTCCTCTTCTTCTTATAACCTGGGATTCTTTAAAAGAGGTGTGAAGAAGCCTTCGTCTTGTTCCGCAGGTACTCTACGATCTCCTCTTCCTTCGTAGAATAATGCAGCCGAGACACGTACAGTGGTAGTTCGGTCCATAAGCCCGAAATAGTCGACATATGTTGGTAAACCGCTTAACTGAGACCTCGCCTGCGGGGTGCAGTGTGTGAGGGAGGACGAGAGAGAGAGGTGCGGGCGGCGGGCTGTTGTAATTTTGACAAGAATTTGCCTGCCGTCCGCACCTCTCACGGTTTCCGTTGTCGTCCTCCCCACACTTTTTACCCCGCAGGCGAGGACTCAGTTAAGCGGTCCACCCATAGTCGCTTCCTTGCCGGCTTTTGGACAACTGTCTAATAGTCCGTCCACCTAAACGATTCCCTGCTTGTTGCGTTCAAGATTACGTTAAGAGCAACGATAACGTATTTAAATTATTTAGAATGAATTATTTGACAATTGGGTACAAAATATTAAAGACTTTATTATAATAGAACTTATCTAATCAGTATATTTTTCTAAAAATAGGTCTTTGCGGTAATTTACTTAAGAAATCACATTATGTTTCAAAAGATAACAATTATTTAGGTGTATCCGTTATCCACGATAAGGTTTTAGAGATCAGTGC